CCCCCCCCCCCCCCCCCCCCCCCCCCCCCCCCCCCCCCCACCCCGCCCAATGCAACCCCGAATTAAATTTCAGCAAAAGATATAAAAAGGGAATTCTAAACGCGAGCCCCGCGATGGTCCTGAATTCGACAATTAGTTTCAGCAACAGCTTTCTGTCGCTGATAACCGAAAGCCCTAGAGTACTATACCATCAATCTTAAAAAAACCCATCTTACAATTGGTCCTGATTACCATTTCTACTCACCCCTTCGCATCAAATATTGGCACCTATTTCCATCAAGCTAAAGCTGTTTTCACTAAATTCATAACACTATCTAATTGGCTGTTTATTGCTTACATCTGTTTGACCTAATTAAAATAAGACTAATTTTGTTCATTACCACTTGGGCTATTGGATGAACGATTTCCCATCAAATATTAATTTAACTTGATGTACATGGGTAATCCTTAAACCACCATGCTTAAAGATTTTTATCTCGGGAAAAGGTTGCCGATTCTCCATAGCTAAAAAAGACTTCAATTTGCCGGCAAAATTCAGAAATATTTCACTCAATAAATTTGCAACAGAGTCGAAGAATAAGGGCAGGAGAGTGGGAAAGAGGGAAGAGAAATGAGTCAGAAATTTTGTTGGGAGGGGAGGAGGGCCGTGAGAGGTCAAACATTGTCAGAAATGGTAAGCGAAGGTCACGAATTCAGCTTCTTCAAGCATCGAAGCTAGGTGCGGGTGGAATTGAATTAAAAGTCTAAAAGAAATTAATAATTAAATCACTCAATACTCATAAATGGAGCCTCAAATGCAAAAAAAAAACAAATAAAGGATTCAAATAATGAGGATATTAAATAAAAGAAATCAAAAAAATAATTTATTGTCACAGTTTGAAATAGCACTTTAAAGAGTCCCAGAAAGTGCAAGATCATTCATAAAGGTGCCATCATTGACAAACAAAATCATTCATAAACATCGAAAATGACACATTTTTGGTGGCACTTCACCCATGCATATTCGTTATCGGCCTTAAAGCGACAAGGGGGATTCGACACTGAAAGTCTTTGATGTTTGGCGTCGAGAGTGCAAAAGCACTGTTCTCTTCCTCCCACGAACCGTTGGTAGCACCACATGTCATTATTTTTACAAAAGATTATAAAGATAGGCTTTTAAAGACGGAAATTGATGTTATTCGGTGTTTAGGCATGACCAAAAAGGTCAAACCAAAAAAGACCATTTCCTCAAGTACCAAAATTTCTAAAGCTTAGAATTTAATATTTCGGTTCTTGGGGTACACGATAGACTTACCTCCACGTGGCGCACTCTAGGCAAAAATTCAATAAACCGGCAGTTGACTTCTGACATCAAACAGCCATGACCCGATTGTATATCATATTCGACCACTTTCACAGTACTCATCTAACCTTTTCTCTGTCCTTGTGTATGTCTGTCTCTTTCACTGCTGTGAATCATACTTCTGCTCACCCTCTCGACTTTTTCGTGACTTTGATGTTCCTCCCCTCTGTAAAACTCGAAGTCAACTAAAGTGTCAATGATAACTATCATAAAGCCTGCCATTGGACATAAATATTTCGGCTCCTTAACTCTATTCCTATCTATGAAGAAACAAGCAAACTCAGAAGACAAAATCGATGCATGGACAACTTAGTTAAAATATGGGAAACGCACCCAATTGATACGACTTTAGTAAAAACAATTGTAAAAGAAATCGAAACGATTCACAAACCCTATAGAACACGGATTAAATTAGATTAATGGAGTAATAGTCCAACAAATGTAACATGTAATAACCCTGGAAGGTCAATAATCAACAGTATTATACACTATTTAAGAACACAATTAAGGAATTTTTCAATCGGAAAATCGTAAACTTACATCACCAACCCCATTTTGTTCACTTCTATCCTCTTCATCATCACTATCCTCAAACTTCTGCATGCAAGCGAAATCGCTCTGACTCAACGTGGAAGGCATGAGCATGTTGATGTCTGACCCGAAACCATTTCCAACCTTTCTTCCCCCACCACCGCCATGTCTGCTCATACGACCTCCTGGGCCGTGGCCTCCTGCCGAACTCTCCAGACCCAGAGCGTGGACAAAGACGGCGGGTTCTGCGTTCTCATCACCGATGCCGTCAGCAAATTGCTGTTGAGTGGGAACGGCTCGGTTGAGGATTTTGATGAACTCGGAGGTTTTGGAACGCATTCGGAGTTGGAGATAACCCTTGGAGCATTTGATATGGTAGTGCAGGTAGTTGCGAACTGTATGGATTAAGTTGATGGTATGATCGGCTGCGTTGGGAGCCAAGTGACGAGGAAACAGAACTAAAATTCAGGAGATCAAGACATATTTTCTTCTATTTTCCGGAGAATTATCTTATTTCTCCACCATTATGACAAGTTGAAAACAACTAATAAATGTTTGAAATAAGGTCTGACAAATACGGCCAAGAAAGGGAAAATTAGAGAAGTTTGTGCTGATCTTGAACATCCATCAAGATCAAAATACAGTTATAAAGACTTCGACCGATTCTCAGATCTAGCGTGCATTCCATTAGGAAAACCCACCAAGCTAATTCTTCTGAAGTTTATCGGAAAGTTGATGACAGTAGTCTTGAAGACTCCGCGAACAAAGTTGAGCTTATACAGCAGAATGGAAATGGACGCTGCATGCCAGTTGAAAAATCAATCGAAGGAAAATTGGCGCACAATCGTAAATGCCAAAACCAAATCTATGGGCAAATCTTGACCATTAACCAACTAGCAGTCTATTCCCAATTAGCCATTAGTGCCCACATTCTGCACACACAAACACACACACACACTAGTTTAGCTGAAATAAACGAAAATTTAACTGAATTATCCTCTGTGTGTTTGACTCCATAGGAATGAATGAATAGCGTGATTAAAAAGAGAGTACTAGGAATCCACTCTCATTTACATCACAAATAACATAATGGAAATTAATCCCAATCCTTATTGCGCAAAGAGGGTAGTGATTAATTTACAAAACGGAAAAGTCCATCGGTGGATGCCCAGTGCCTATTGATTCAATTGGGAGAATAAGGAGAGCCCATTCCAAGAGTAGTAGCTCCATTATGCAACCACGCCACTAAAGACGTGCGTTGAAGAATTACTCTCTTAAGCGGGTAAGTACGCGAATCATTCTTATCTGAGCAAATTCTGAGGAAACCACAAAGATTCATGATCAAATAGTCCTTCACACGAGGATTGTAAGGAAAATGCCAAGAAAAGCATAGAAAGTTAACAAATATCCAAAGTTGATTAATATTCAAATCTTAAGTAGCAGAGTCCTATATAGAAATTATTGAGATTCCTATTAATTGCATACCGAATTCTTAAAAAAACGGATGTAAGCACGCCTTTCTCCTTCTCAAGAGAAAATGTAGTTTATGTGGGGAATTTACTCACCGAATGTGATATAGGCTCTGTTATCGCCGCCGACAGCATCCGTACCTCTCAATTCTGCTGGTGGTTCGCGATGCGAGTAGAGAACTTGGGGCGCCCGGTCGTACCTGCGTCGTACCTCCGTAAACTCCTACAAAATGACAAATCCTACCTACTCGATATCAGTAGTAAGTGGATTTCATTTCCGTTAAGGACATATTAGTAAATAATGGCCATTTCCACTTGATGCAATGTGCTACTGAAATAGTATAAGAGTTCAAAAGAAGTGCGTAGCAGTAAGTTACAGGAATCAGTTTCGCTTTTGTTAGCAAATAAAAAAACTTCCTTTCCAATGTATTAAGCAAGCTGTTTTTACTTCGAGGCAATTCGCATACTATTCAAAAACTAGAAATTGAATCTCTGATCAAACCAATTCACCTCAGTTATAAGTGCTTTTAAACGATGAGTTAGTGCCGTTTGAGTTAGTGAATATTAGACAAGTTTGCTGTGCTTCTCCAAACACCAATCTATCCACAACTGGGAGTAAAGTACATACTACTAACAAATGGGCACTCCGTGTGTTGTGCACAAATTATGACTTACCTTGTTCAGGGAGAGGTGGCGTTAGCGACTGCTAAATACAAAGGCGTGAAGTATTAACCGTATTTTAATGCAAAGGGGGGAGGGGGGTGAGTCACTGTATCATAGTCACAGCCATTCTAAGGAGGGAGAGGGGGGGGGGGTAAAACAAAGAAAACTTTGACCAATGGCAAGCATTAATGGTTGAGACTAAAAGTGGGCATTTGGAGTCAAGGCAAAACGAGGGATCAAACTCCAAGATTTTTAAAGTTTTTATGTTGAAAATCAAATTATTTAAGCAAACTATGGTTAGGAGACTATTGGGGCTATTCTTTTCTTCTAACCGGACAATGAAGCGATTAAGCGGGTCTAACTTACTAACTAACTTTGCCTATATTTGGGAGTAAGGAATGATTAAATCCCAAATTTGTGAAAGAATAGAGCATAGGGAATGATATTTCAGGCTTTCTGCTAGCAAGTGCATGAGAAAAGATATTTCTAATACTTACTCCCTACATGCATTCACCATGTAATACTTGAGATTTTGATTCTACAAAACCTTTTAAAAATAAGCTCTAAAACCATAAATATTAGCATAATATAAATCAGAAAATGTACCACCTACTTAGAATTTGAACAGAAATTTCCCATTATTAATTCAATCACTCTCTGAATACTCACCATTTATTCCCAAAGTTTGAAAGGCATTACTGGCTGGGCACACAAGGGAGATGAACAAAATTACAGAGAAATTAACGAAATGCAATGCCTATTCAAACAAGTTGGAAGCAAGAATGGGAGACGAACCTGCATGAATATTTTGCCGATGACGACATCGTCAGCATCCTTGAACACAGTGCTGAATATTACGGTTATCCTGTCCTCCAGCGCTTGGACATACCTAAAAAATTGAGGTTTGGAATTTAAGAAATCCCCTGGATGAACTAGCTTCGCTCGTTTTCCGTGTCTTTAATACTAGTTTGGGCACTGATCTCTATATGGTCAAATTCAAAAGCCATCTTGTTTTAGGTGGGTCCAAGAATCGAGAAACCACAGGAAATCCACATAATGAGTTCTACAATTCAAATCCGCAGTACGAAGTTCAGAAATCTGAATTTTGACAACACTCAAAGTCACATATGCTACATAAAGCAACCCTGAAGCCACTTGAGATGCAGGAGTATGCCAAGAGCATTCCCATTTTTTTAGAAAAATAAAGAAAACAAAATTAATTGATATTTATACATTGGATAACTACTTCCCAATTACACCGGACTCAAGTAGACACACACACACACTCAGGCGTTGTTGAGGCTTGTTTGCTTAACACAAACAAAATGTCGACATCGTTTCAAGAAGATAGCCAAAATGGAGGGTGGTATTCTGATATCTTGAGTATTGTGAATTGACCATAGAAGCAAGTAGTGATACCTGCTAGAGTAGTAGGTCATAAGTTAAAAAGTTGGCAAAAACAAGTAAGTTGCTAAAATTATTTTGACAATAGATGATGACCTCGTTATGATCCGACCAAAATTATAACAAAATTGTTTCTTTTTCATTAAATTAGACCCTAAATTGGTGCTAATTGTTGCACTTATGACGATGATCAACTTAAGACACCAGTAATAAGTTGAAATCTAAAATTATTAATCAAAGCAAAGTTACAATCTTTTAGTATGTAGATGGATTTAAGAATAAATGCAAGCACATTCGGTACTTCCCACTATTTAAAGTTTCCTAAAGGGATTTCGAACGAAGTTGCCTCCACCAATAGTTAAGGTCAAACGGTCAAGAGGAAACACGATGTCATGTAGCAGCATCATTTTTTTAAATTTATGCCATAATTTTCAAAAAAAATATGAAATTTAGTCTTGTGGGCTACAATTATAAAGAGAAATGGACGGGCCACTTTCCTATAATGAGTAGAAAGAACAGTAGAGGCCAAAAATAACGAGTTGAAATTTGGAAGAAGGCAACTCTTGCTAAAGTGAGTTGTCAGAGAAAAAAACCCACCAACCTTCACCAACTAACGGCTCTGTAAACTTAAAGAGCAGTTCCGCCACACCATCGAATTCTTTTTTCCCCATTTGATAGATTTCTTCTGGAATGTCTATGTTATTTTCCTCCATCTTAAAAGATCTATCCGATAAAAAATAAATGGACCCATTATTTTGGCAATTCTTTCCAATCCTGCATGAACAAACTAGTGCGCATCTAACGATGCAATTTGTGCGAATTCAAGACCTTGGGTCGTCACACAAAGGTTAAGTGTCGAGACTAAAAGGGTTAGTTCGACTTAGCTGACCCCGTTAACCAACCAAGTATTTCAGTTAAATCTCATCTACGATCTCAAATTTGCAAGGGGCGACAATGAGGAGGTAGTGGGTGAAAACCTAGCTTACCTACCTGACTTTCATAACCTAACAGAGATTTAGTTCTCTACTACACCCATTTCCTTCAAGCCATATTACAGTTCTACCAAACTTCAATCAATTCAACGAATTGAAAAGGAAACAAAAGTGTTAAATCAACAGTCAATTTATCCGATCAAAAAAGTGGAAAATTTGGTTAGAACTGAATAGGCAGCCAAGAACTCTACGGAGGTGGAAAAAAACACCAAACTTTGCATAGAATGAAAATAAACGCACACACACACACACACAAACCAAAATTAAATGTTGTCAGAACCGCCAAATTTGGCGTGACGGAAGTTGGGGAAATAGCAAGAATAACTGAAGCCCGTACAGCCATGAAAACTTGACAAAATAAAGTTCAGTCAGAGATAAATTGGAAAACCCAAGGGGTGAAATACAGCAAACGATGATCGAAGAGCATCAAGGATTCTTGTGGGGGAAGCAAATGAAAAACAAAATACTGCAAATGACGGGGGGGGGGGTTGGATTAAGCAGATTGAAAAATCGAGGTCCCACAAAGTGGGAGAGAGAATGAAGTGAAGCATCAGAATCATTCGAATAACCGATTAGGAGTAGAAAAAGCTATTTATTCAAAATCTATGAAACACAGAAAGCTCAATTTTGCGAGACGCAACTAAATTGTTACAAAACACTACAACTTTCATCACGTTAAATAGATTTGAAACGACTTCACCTTTATGAAATCAATAATTGGCGTGAGGCAACCAATCCATTATGAATGGCCAGCTCTATTTAACTATTGGAGTTTCTCAATTACAATGAGATACCCAAAAAATATGAAAATACATGCATTGCCTCATAGGAAGTTAGTCATTCTAAGAGGAATTTTAGATTGCATCGTCCAAAAATGAAACTCATTTGCAACCCTCTTGAACATAAATGCAGTGCTAATTAAACTTACACAAAATCTTTAGAATCCCTAGTTATGCGTTTAGACGACATACTCATACACCCTGACATTTAGTTATGTTCTTTTCATTTTCGTCCCAAAAACATCCATTCAGGAAAAAATATAATGAAGTTCAAAATTCATTCCACTATCCAGATGTGCATCTAATTTGTGGTTTAATAGCTCTTCAATTTTACAGTAAACTTCAATAGACAATGGGTAAACAAAGAAAAGGATCATACCTAGGTTATGGAATAGGATTTTACTCATCCAATCATATACGGTGCCTGAGTAGATACTCAAATGAGGCCAAATAAATGCTATGAGAATGATTACGTTAATCGTTTGTACAATATCACACAAGTGCAAAATTTAAGACAATACGTTAATTTACAATTGGTTAGTACAAGGTCACGACAATGAGTGTAGAGTTGGTAAGTTAAGAAAAGAGATCAGATGTGTGTAATCCTCTAGGAAACTAGAATAAATCCCCAATTTCATAAACCATCAATGTCCACTTAGAAATTTTATGATCACGACAAAGCATCGAGCACAAACAGTGTTGCTTTAGTAAAAATTAAGAAAAAGTAATAAAAAACTGAAATGTCTGTAAAAAATAAAATGTTGACATCAGATTTAATAACAAAAAAAATAAATGGCAGCCTACAAGTTCAAAAATTCTACTTAATCGATAAGCACAAAAGAACGAAGCCAATTGGAACGATCATTTTAGAATAAATACACTGAGCATCTTACCACAACCCTCAACCCACGATCAAAACGAAGCATGACCCCAAAAACCACCTAAGAGACCGTTAGAAGTTGCGATTACCTTTTGGAATGATTAATAGTGCATGTAGATAAACCTGCTCCAAAAATTTTACACCAGAACAAAAAAAGATGTTAAACTTTAACATTCCGATTTAACTACTGTAACATTTATTTCTCGATTAAGTGTTTTGAATTACTCTATCTTTCAGGTTTATCAAACTCAAGAAAGTTCTTACAGTGATAGCCAATTAAATTAGCCCTTTTATTATTCAACCAATCACAGAGATACTTTTGGGTGGAATAAAAAAGAGAACAAAAATAATTGACAACTAGATTAATTGACTGAGAACGCTTTACCGGAAGAGGCCATTTACAGAAACAACCGAGATAGCCATTGTATTCTAGGTCGAAGTGCATCTTCGAATCAAAATTTTACGACCAGATAAGAGAACGAATTTGTGATTCAGGTCGAAAAACTCCCACTCCACTCAGCGAAAATAAATGCGAGGGAATGGAGCAAGTTAGCTTCAGAGTAAGTAGCCAATATTGATAGTAAGTACAGCAGGTGTGAAAAGACAAAGCATCCAAGTGGCTATTCTACCAAAAAAATGAAGAACCAAGATACGTCTTCATTCGATTATTTCTTCTCTGAAGAAGATAACGAATATATCAAGGAAAGTAAAGTAATCGAGGGTACTTGTAGAGGCAATAAGTATATATATATATATATATATATATATATATCGGCGAGCATATAGTCAAAACAAATTAGAGAAATAAAATAAGCCCGTCTGTAGAAATCATTTCAGACGTGATAGGCCACCAGCTTTAGAATAAACATAGCTGCGCAAGAGCAGGAGATAAATATCATGGCTTATGACCTCCGTCGGCCAGTAAGCGCAATAAATAGATGGACGGAGGGTGGAGAAAATTTGCCACAAACGTGTCATTATATTAGTTGGCCTCTTAAATAACTAAAAGCTTAAAGGAAAGTTGCCAAAATGCAGAATTTCTAGAAAGATCTCAAGATGTCCACCTTCAAAAAGGGGAAACCAACAATCTCTCAATTAACACTCGAATTCTAAACATCCTAAAAAGTTAACATTTTGCGTAATTTCTTCGAAATTACTTTCAAGAATCAAAATTATAACGCGAGATCAGTTAAGCTAAGAATATCTACGAAAGTAAACCAATATATAAGCTTTGCCAAAATCGAAAATAAAATAAAAGAAATTAAAAAAGAATGCTGGCGTCAAATGAAGTTTTTTGAGTTGCCGTGCAACAACTTCATTAGTAAGAGCATGGGAATTAAAACAGTATCCGAATAATCTAACATCAGTTCAGGAAATTGAATAAGATCGCACGCAGGAGATATTGTAAAGAAAGGTGCAAGCACAGGCACATCAAATACGTCAAGCAGTTCTTTAAATGAGGAATGGAATGAATAGCACATCATTTTCACCTGATGGGGCATAGTATAAAATCAATGCGAAAGGACAAAGATTGGGGAAAGTTAAACAGTTTGATGAAGTTAGCAAGAAATAAACATTTTAAATAGAAATGATATAACGGGAAGATGAAGCACTAATCAGTACAGATAAACTAGCGTGCAGTTATGATTACTAATGCAAATAATAGACATTCAGCGTTGAACAAAAAAAAGAATTATTGCAGAGGAAAAATCGGACAAGAAAAATAACTTCGTACGAGGAATATCATTATGCATGATTCAGATCAATAATTGAACAAAAAGCGATGAAGGTCGACACATTCAGCACGCAAAGGTGGGTGACAGGGGGAAGATTAATTACTCTCATTACTGACGGTGACGTGTCTGACACATTAGTTGACTTATCAAGTAATGGGTAAGTCCAACTACCAAAAAGCTAACTTTTCGAAGCCAAATTAAGCCATCACTTATCACTCAAAATACGCTGACTGGAAATGCATACTTCCAATCGATTTCTTCAAAGTCCTTTTATTAAATTTAAACGCTAACAAGGAGTACCAAATGAATATATGTAGAGCAAATTTGTGACAAAGGAAACCGAAAATGACCGAATAATTGCGTAAAAAGAGAATATTTAAAATATAAACGTAAATCGATATCAAAAATATGATAAAGTGAAGCAGAATCTCAAGAAACTATAAACATTAAAACAGAACAGACTATCTAGATTACGGCTTTTAACCATTATGAAGTATCTTAACAGACAATCAGGGGGGGGGTATGGACAACTATAATACACTCAACGAAACTAACATTCTAAGTTACTGAAAATAATCAATTAGAAGAATAGAAAACTACCTGGGCTTGATTTATAGTTGTAGGTGGAATGAATTCTAACGAAGATTAAAATAAAATATTATCTACATAGTTGATAAAAATATTTAAAACTTGCATAGCTTCGTCGGGACTGTAATGAATGACAGCTCGCTTAGAAATCATGGGTTCATCAGCAAAGGCTTGAAGGATGAAAAATGGCTCAAATACTGCAGCGAAACAGTGTCGCTTCATTAAAGCAACACGATGAGCAAGAGAATCATAATCATCGGGGACATTAGTCAAGTCAAAGCAAAGAGTAACTGAGTAACCGGGAAATGGTTGGTCCAACATGTATGAGCCATATTCGCGTTTCAAGACCTGATAAAGATATCAATTGGTTATTTTTAAATAAGTACCCATTTAGAATAGAGAAAATTCGCCTACCATTTCTACATTATACTCCCGGAGTTCATCGAAGAAATTTACTAAAAGACTGACTAAAAGCTTTGTTTTATCTTTGTCTGGATTATGAATACGATAGAGAACACGATCGAAATCAGCAACCGTGTAGTCGATCTTCTCGAATTTTAAGCTGGAGAAATCATTAGGATTTGAAATAAGAACGCTTACCCAGCTTTAGCATTATAGAAACGGGTAAGGAGCAATTCTTCAAGAGCAGGGTTGTGGAAGTCCAAAATAATCATGATGTGGAAAGTAAATATTACAGGTGATTTAAAAAAGCGAAGTAGACATGTCTGAAAAGAGGCAGTAAGTATATTGAAATTGTGATCGTTAAAAGAAAAAGAGAGTCAACATTAGAAGTAACAACAATTTTACGTATAAAATTTGCGTGATCTTTGATATTAAAATAACAAAATAAGGCACCACTAAATACCACAAATAAAGAAAAGAAAACTCACACAATTTATGTGAAAATTCTAAGACAAAACGCAGACTTCGTCTTTATGTCGATTGGTTATAAGCAATTAAGTAAAGATACGATCAAGCTATTAAATTTTATATTTTTCCTAGAACTATTTAAAATATGAAATAATATTGTCATATATTTTTAATTTTTGCTGGCCAAGTAAATTACTAAAATGACATATCTAATCAAAAAAGCCACAACAGTTTAATTCAAGTTATTCGATGTTTCGATTCCACCAACTTAAATACAAATTATTTTTAAATATTTATCTTTAGCTAATGAGTTACAATATCGCAGATATTGATAAACTCGACCTCAACTGATGCATGCACTATAGAGAATGATTGAGTATATTCCGCAGAGTGAAACTTTCTATGCTATATTAGTGATATACTACCAAATATTGTTTTGACCTCTAGTAAAAAATATTGTTACTCGGATGTTCTTAGAGATTATCAAACGCTTAGCATTTATAAAGCGACGGAAAATCTTTTGGTGATTCATTTTATGATTCTGACAATATACAAATATCATTCTTAAGCCAAGTAAATGAAACAAAATAAATCGGTAATAGTAATACTTTCATTCGACCTTAAAGAGAATAAAATCATGCTGAATAGAATACCCATGGCATATATTTATTTTATCATGTATATTTTATATTGACAATTTCTAATAATTAAAGCCCCTTTTATATCACTAACATCTAACTTTAAAGATCTGTTTTTATCTTGTCTAAGATAACGGTTAATCAGTTTCCAATAAAAAGGTTACAAAGAGCTCACACTATTTTCGTTCTGAATATGTTCATCCTGTGTTTTTTTATTTCATGTAATGTTTCGTATTTCTGTAGACATAAAATTTCGAATGCTTAAACTTTCGGAGTAATTCGATTTTTTGAAGAGTCGGATGTGCTTAAGTTATATATTCAAAAATCCTTAGATTCATAGTTACTTTCGCAGGAACCTTTCCCATAAAACCACATAATTTTACAAAAACTGGAAGTGATATTCCTCTGACCAGTTCTATTACTCCTTTGCGATAAACTATTACTTCTTTTGATTAAGTTAAAGCATCGAATATACACTTATTTGTTCGAAATTCAATATTAAACAGACTTGAACTTTTGTTATTAAACCTACTATTCATCGTAATTTTTAATCGAATCGACACTAAAATACATATGGTCGAATGAGTTGTAAAAAACTGATTTAAAGGCTCTATCCATACTGAACATCCATAACATTTTTTTATTTCATTATGGTTAGACACTAAAAGAATGTTATGTCGCTAAGTATAATTTTGGCAAAGTGTGTATCTTTAAAGTTAAATAACGGTTAGTTCAATATGAATATCAAAACTGGGTCACCTAAAAAGCAAAATAATTAAAGTTTCGTTAGTTGACTTTGAGATTGTGAGCAAAATGAGTCTTTGTGGAAAATGAAATCTTTATTGGCCATCAAAAATACGAAATATCGCGGGGAAATTTTGTCTAGCAACAGCAGTCATTGCAGCAGTACCTTCGACCTTGAAGTAAAACCAAATAATTTTTTATTAATTCACTTCAAGAAAACAAATAAAAAGATTGCTAAGATTTTAATTGAAACCCTAACTCACAACAAGTGTGGCAGCAATATGTACAGCATTCATTACATCCACATCCTCCGCAGCCACAACCACATCCACAACCACATCCACAACCGCAATCACATCCACATCCACAGTCACAGTCACAGTCACAATCACAACATCCGCATCCACAACCGCACCCCATTTTGTTTCTGATTTATTGATTTTCTTGTTAAAAGTTATTTCAATCAAATTTAGACTCCTTTGCTACTTATATAGCTTGCATATTCATACGTTTTGTTTGACAAATTATAATGTATGATTGAACGCTAAGCCAAAATTGATAAGGCTCTGTTACGCCAATTCTAAAATGCTTCTATCAATCTACGTTACGGAAATACAAATTATCCCAAATGAATTCGTTAAATTAAGTACAGTATGCCCAAACTTTAAATGTTTATTCCGCAGTGAAAAGTTTTATCCCACCTAATCTTGGTGTGATAGTGAAAATTGCGCATTCTTAGTTAAAAAGGTGAATAAAACTTAGTTTTACCACATTAGAAGTTATGAGTGTTAGCACAGAGAGAAAAACTCTTGGAAACATCTCCAATTATCCACTTTGAAAATTAGGAACCAATAGAAGTATTTTCCACCACGTATCTTTGAGAAAGCGTTTACGAAGCTTTCAGTTGTCTCTATATTATTCTGACACATTAGTATTATTGGAAATAATATCATTATATGGAAACTGTGATTAACAAGTAAAATGTGCCAATGTTGAAAAATATAGAGTAGAACTGCCTCACCTAAGCTCATAAAGCCTTTTCAACGAACTTAGATTTGTCATTTTTTGAATTATACCAAGTAAAATTTTTAAAACAAAGCTTACTTCACAGCTAGAAGCTTTTCAAATTACGGGAGTATCACATTATACCATAAAATATCACTTCATATTTTTTAATAACGATTTAGTATATTATTTGACTTTTTAAACATAAACGCGTGATCGGAGTTATAAAAAACACTTAATTTGGAACTCCGTACAATTTCATTTTATCAATTGCTAACTATTTCAATTTGTCAGTCGGTAGCGGCGTAAAATACTGTAAAAGGCTACGAATAAAAGATTCGCTTATCTAAGTGAAATGCGTTAATACTTACCAACAAGATCTCGTAAAAACAAAAGCACTTTCAAACGTATCATCTTGAAGCCAATGAAGCTAACGTTAAGTACGTTTGCAATAGTGGTTCTTTGTTTGAGTGAACCGAATATAAAGGCGAAATTGAGCGAATGTTTGCACAAGATGTCGCATCTAACCAATACGAATTCTTCTCAATGACTATTAATCTTCAAATTAATTGAGAGGTTACATGTTTCCCATCGATAAAGAAGGAGAACTTTTCTATTTTCAAGAATGGAGCATAAAAACTGGGGGGGGGGGGGAGGGGGGACGGGGTTTATGTTAGTCGGTATTTAGATTCTCATTTCACACCAACTCCCAATTCATTTACGCCAGAGGTCTTAGGGCCCACTTCTTAGTTATTCAGTGTAGAGTTTTGACCGAATCGTCTTTGCATTTTTTTGTTACGTAAAGTTCACAACATTCATAATTGCCAAACAACGGTTCTTTCTTGAAATACCCTTGGATATATATTCATCTGAAATGTTATAATTAAAATGAAATCCTTTTTAACATTTCTATTTCCTCAAATGCGTTATCGTCTAGCTGATCACCAGGATAACGCATATCACAGAAGTCTAAATTCAATAAATTTATTGAAATTATCTTTGTGGTCGAATTACCATTAATCTTCTCATTTAAAGAGTTGATTCCTTCCGCATATGCGATCTAAATTTAATGCGGCTCGATTGCTTATAGAATTAGCATTTACTAAACATTCCTCAAAATTCAATAAGGAAAGCGCTTTCAACGCTTATCTAAACATCTCGTGCATATAGCAGCAATAAAAACTTAAATTGTGCACCCATCTTACATGCAACATTACGAGTTTTCGAGCCTTCTTTGCAAATTACTCCCTTTTAGTTAAGTATGTGGTGCACCCTGGACAATGTATACCAATACGATCTATCCAATGCTCAAAACGCCTGCTAATACAATTCCATTATTTCCATTCAGGCTACCAAAATACTTGATGTTGTTCCTATCATTTATAAATTTAATTGTTAATTTAAGCTTTATCACCATTTGAATGATATTGTTAGAATTCCGATAAACACAAATATTTTTGGGTTTATTGACATTCAATGAAAAAATAACTGACTGCTCTGAGTGACTGACGGCAAAAAATTCTCTCAAATAACCAATCACTTAACGAGATGGACGGTGTGAATTTGCGTAAATCAATGCACCCGCAAAAGCAATGGAAATTCGTTGCAATTAACTGCGCATCTTAAGGGGTATATAAGGGAAACGATAGGGAAAAGTAAACCAGGAGAGTGAGAGTTTCAAATTTCAGTTTAAATCAGGAACAAGATGGGTAGATGCTGCGGATGTGGTGGTTGCGGATGTGGTAGCCGTGGCTGTGGTTGCGGTGGCTGTTGCGGCTGCGGTGGCTGTGGCTGTGGCGGCTGTGGCAGCGGCGGATGCAATTACTGCTGTAGAGGCGGCTGTAAGTTATTTTAAAAATAAAAGAAGTTTATATTTGTTTGTTTTGGTTAGTTTACTATTAACACTTTCTTTTTTTCAGGTGGTCGCAGGCGTTGCTGCTGCTAAACAGGTGGATCCATTGGAGTTGTATAAATAATACAAATCGGAAATTCCCTTTTGTTAATCTCGAAGGAGATGCTTTCGATTCTGCTTCACTCTTTTATTGGCCATTAAATAATTCGAATTTCTATGAGACTTACTTCTGGTTTACTTCACAAAATTTTGATTAAATTTGAGTATTGTTAAACAGTAAAGTAAATAGTAAAATTATCAGTGAAATAAGCACCTGAAACCACAAGCAATTCGATTTGATATGATTTCTTGTTGGTAATTATTCTGAGGAGGAGAGATTGCATGACCTGCATCTCAATATAGCCAAAATTCTAAATAAGTTAAAAAAGTTGTCATGGTCTTAATTTATGGCCAATAGCTAAAATCCTGCCATTCATGAGCAAAAGAATGATGCAGTTCAATCTATAAATTAGATTAACAGTGACCAAACACAACGAATCAACAATTTGTATTTAGTGAGGCTCATGATATCGACTTCCACCAATCTTTTGCACTAAATTAGAAGAGTTATTTAGGTAATGATAAATAAAGTGATAAAAATAGCCTTCTCTTGGATACCCGTATTAGCAAAGAAATGCCCTGTTGTATTTTTCAAACTTTTGTCCTGGATATTCTTCTGTGGAAAATTCGTCAGTTCAGATATATAGTAACCTAATCAATTTGTTTTCATTATAATATCCCATCGTGAATACTTAAAAGCATTTGCCGTTGGATATTTAAAGCAGATGTTATAAATATATTGTTACTTAAATTATAGCAGTAGCAGTAATCGATTTGGTTTCAATAGTTATATTTGACCTGGAGTTTATTTTTAATACGTAAAATTGACAATCACCAGGTGTTGTAAGCATATCTTAAAAGGAATTGATGGAAACTAAGCGGGTAAATTTGGAAATGTCTTAAAGCAGGGTAAAATGCAATAACAAAACTCGAATGCAGACGTTCACATTGAACCGAATTGGTTAAGTCCCAGTGTAATATTCAAGTAGATATGAAGAACTAAAATATTGATAAATCATAAATGTCAACCTATTGAATGTCTTTTTAAAAGGGAGCGCCAAAGAAAAAGCGAAGATTGTGCGAGAGCTAGATCTGCCTTTAAGGTCAATCGGAGATTAACAAGCGAATCAAGGACGTGAGCGAATTGGCCATTCAGACTGTTGCCATTACATACACGTTTCAGCCATTAGCCGCAGCCAAGGATTAGTCATGTGGGTTATGTTGCGAATACGTCACCCGCCAAATTTAAATAAGCGCGCCATTTAAATCTTATCGCCGCTTAGCTATACAATTTTTGTAAAAAAATTAGATGATCTTGCGTAATAACCTTCAAGCCATAGTTGTCACGTTTAGCTTAATCTTACCAATCTATCAAATGATTAGCTGTCTTTTTGTCAGTTGTATCGATGATTTGCCTAGACAGTAACCGTGTTCCTGATTTATCAATAAACGCTCACAATGAACACAGATTCAACAGGCATCGTAATAAGCTCAAAAATGACAATTTGCCTCTGTTATATATAAAATACTTTGCAACTTCTAATTCTCATGGGCCTACTCGAGCGATCGTTCACATTTTTTACCCATTGCATTATTTTTCCTATAGTTAATCCTGTTTACCATAAAGGATAGGTATCGTGGAATATTCCAAAACACGACATGGAAGAACACATTTAATCTCAACTTGAAGGTGATTTTAGGAGTATCTAAGTTTGACTACCTATGAAGCCTTAATCCCAACCCAAGTCGTCCGAATTCGATAAGGGAGCGTCTAAAGCCCAAGTCACACAGGCCCAAAGCACCACACAAATCCCAGTTTAGCTGTTCGCGCATTAACACACGAATAGCCGTACGCGCATATACGCGAGCTCTGAGGAGCCAATGGCAATTGAGCGTGCGCAAACTTGACTGCTGGCCAAGAGAGTCGATCGATACGTTATGGTGCGGTGTGGTGGTGCGCGTGCGGCTATTTGCAGTGCTACACGCGTTGGGCGCGCTTAAAGCATCAGCAGCATTATCACCACCATCGTTCCTCCATTACTGAGGCTGCCTCTAATACTACTTTCTGCTAATCCACTACACAAACGCACAGCCCAACTGGGTGTAGAGATACCGATTCGGCAACTACGACTACCCCTTTTGGTGGATAACATTCGCGGCAAATTGGGCTTCCTTATAGCCATATATTCCCACTTGATTATTTTGATTAAATAGAATTTTTAAATGAACATCCTACCCAAACTGGGGAAATTTAGACGAAAGGAATAATTCATGCAAAATAACATAAAGGTGGAAAATTAAACAAGCAGTTCAAATAGTATAAGTCAGAATTTTAAGTGGCCAACGTTGCTGGTGTGTTACTCGTCAAAGCTACTTCATTCAACACCATCAGAAATCTAGTAACTTGAACCGAAAATGTCTTTTCAGTTATTTACATCATAACGTTAAGAGATGGCGGGATTTTAGTTTAAGAACACTAAAAGGATCCAATTCGTTAAAATAACTAACTAGAAATTCAAAGTATTAAGGATTAATAAAGAGGAAGCAGTGGTTAGCACAATTATCTCAAAAATCATGCCCAATTTGCGAAATGGTTCACCGCATTGGTTAAGTCTGGCTGGCAAATAGTGGCAGAATTTGAGTTCCTCAATAGGGAGACTCCCCCTCTAACCAGGACAAGCGTTTGAAAACGTATTCTTATATGAGTTCGAGAGTTATTGGCTATTTCTCGCTAAGAGGGGGATAAAATGCAGTTTTCTCAACGACTGAAGTCATCAGTCAAAAGGAAAAGCCATCTCACAGTAGCAAATTTATTACATGATATTGCCACCTAAACTGTCATCCTCAACACGTTATCAGCATCAACAGACACAATCACCATCAAACATCATCAAACAGACAGCGTTAGTGTAGTTTTTCCATCATCAGCAAAAGAGGAGGGCAAAGGGAGAAGATCAGACGACTTGCGTACACGCTTAGACAGAGATCAGATCGCGTTCGATATTTTGGTTAAGGTGTCGCGCACACGTTGCGTTGTCTGACGCACAAATTCAGTTAGGGGGAGCCTGGATCACACGAAAAGTAGAGAGAAAAACTTTCAAATTAAAAGGAGAGACAGAGATAATAAAAGAAAAGAGAAAAGAACGCCAGAGAGAAGAGAAAATAAACACAAGTAGAGGAGGGAAGTTGGAGGTTTAGTGTGTGTGTATTGTGTTTGGTTGCTTGGCAGACAGTAAATCACATCCAAGAGGCGAGGGATTGATTTTGGAAGGAAGTGATTACGGCGGGGAAAGGGGGGCAGTGAGCGCGTGTGAGAGTACCACCACACGTCCATCGATTCGTTGATTGTCGTCTTGAAATTGATTGTACAGATCGCGCAGAGAGGAAGGGGAGAGAATGAGAGACAGAGAGAGAGTGATTTCACATGTCTTTATATATGACGGAGTGGGGAAATGGAGATTTTATTTAGAGGGCGAGAGAGAGGACTAGACGAGGTTGTATTCCTTCAAGTTCAGCTGCAGAATGGTGTCCTTTACAGCGGCGAAAACAAAACGGATGTTTTCCGTGTCGGTGGCACAGGTGATGTGCGAGTAGATTACTTTCTCGGGGTCTGGATTTAATTCCACAAACATTTTCAAAATGAACTCACGCGCTGCTTTTGCGTCTCGTTGAGGTCCTGCAAAGGATGCAGATAATCAAGAAATTATTGCTCATATCCACTAAGGAACTCCAATAAATCTACTCCTAAGCCAGCTGATAAACAATTCCCCCTCCCCCCCACCCCACTCAAAATGGGCAAAAGGAAGGATTTTAGAATTTAAACACCGCTTCCTTTTGCTAATCACATTAGGTTAAAAGACGTTCCAAAATTTGCTTAGTAGAGCACTAAAGATTTTCTTTCAGCAATTTGGAACGATTCTCAATTAATAACTAATAATAGTGGACATAAAACTTTACATTATAAATAATATCCGTTCACTAGTAAGGAAATTTGGCAAAACTGAATTCTACATTTGGGCTATAAAGAGTAATTCAGACATAAATTTAGAACAGAAATATCCGGCTGAAACATCCACTGACTAAAAAAGAATCCATACACAAATGAGTTTTCAAAATGCAAAACCAGGTGCACATTTTGTCAGCTATTCATAAGAGTATCTAATGGATTAAAGAGAGTTGACCAAGGAGACGTGGAGGAAAAGCCAAAAGTGGATCATAGAGAGAGATTTCTTTGACTAGAAATGTGCAACACGACACGAAGAGCCATTCGCGTTAGGAAACGGAGAAAAAGCTAGCATACGAGTCACTATAAGCTATCGTAAATTTAAAGCAATCAGATATTCCAAAAACGCTGGGTCCTATAAATAAACGACAGCTAAATAGCAAGTGAAGATAGCAATGATTGTTAACTCTCATTATCGTCCATTATCTTGACAATTAAAACAAATGCACCATCCGAATTAATAAGCCGCGAAAATGACTCAAAGAAAGCAAAAAAATCCGACAATTCAGCTTTAGAATATGTAGCGGCGAGTAAAAGGAAGGCAATATGAAAATAAAGGACACTAACAACGAATCCTTCAAGACTAGTAGACTTCTCTTTAATTTTTACTTCTAAATGTTACCACCTCTTTGATTCGTATTGAACTGCCCTATTGCCCCCCCCCCCCCCCCCAACCGGTTCAGATGCTTTCCCACGAGAAATTGCAATTTATTCTTGTACTACCGTGGGTAATAGATCAACCGAAAGCATACCTTAATCATTTTAGTCAGTAAAATGGGAAGGTTTCCCAGAGAGTCACGAATTGCACAGCATGCACGAATGATATGACTTATTACTACAACAATACGATGCAGATTGCGTACCCTCTGCAACACAAACCTAACTCCTCCAAATAGAAATTGCTAAATTCAACGAGTCTCATTTTAAAAGTCCGACAGGACAAGAAGGTCTGACCAGCGCCAACGAAAAGACTATGCGGAAAGAGGTTCATCGATGTAATCGAAAGGAGATTTAAAAACAAGTACGAATCAACGACTGGTAAAATTTCCTAACAAATTTATGCTAATTTTGAGTATTTTGAGGCAAGAGCGAGGAGAGGGTAAATATCTAGAGGGGAATGTGTGATGACCTGAGAAGGGAAATCGCTCCGTGGCTAAAATTTATTTGCCAAACAGCCTTGACCTCGTGGACCTACCGACTAGGGAGAGAGAGGAGAGAGAGAGCAAATGTTGCTTAAGGAAACAAAATCAAATATAATTCAGGACGTTAAAAAACAGAACACTGATTTCGACAAAATTTCTCTCAATACGCATATTCCAGCTCAACTTAAAACGGCTGTAAAAATAACTACCAGAGGCGCTTCTTTGGGGGAAAACCCAAACGTGACATTACTTACTTTTGTATTAATGAACAATTGCCCACTTCAACCATGGAACTTAAGTACCTGAAAAAAAAACTATTGTTCAATTGCTAAATCTTATGGAAGACATACGTTTAGTAGGAATCGAGGAAGATTACTAAAAATGGTACCCATAACATACACACCACCAGAACAGAAAGACCAAAATCTTTACCAAATAAGGGCAGTACAGCCAAACACCAAATTCAATCAGAAGTCCAGAGTTTCGTGGACAAATCCTCACCCATGAACCAAGGAATCAAATTGAAGTTGGAGAGCTTAAGAAAAAATTACGACAGAGCGTTTCAGAATTCTAAAAATGAATGGCACATCTGCTTTGACCTCACATTAGACAATTCTTTCTGATCACATTAATCGGTTTATACATTGAGTTGGCTGTTGATTCTCTTATAATTTAGACGCTTTCGCATGATAAATACTAGTGTAGCAACAAATAATAAAAAATTATCAACTCGAAAATTCCACACACACACATCCGACTAGGAACAATTCTGCGCATTTACATGATGATAGGGAAGGAAGAAATGTTAATGTGAAAAGGCAATCCAAACGTGTGTAGGAAAAGAAAAGTAAAAATGTTTAAATAATAACACGAAGACAAGAGGTAAGCAGGCAGGCATCAGAAAGTGAAAAATAAGCAAGTCATTATCGACTATGGTAGCCTAAATAGTTTGATATTGAAATAGGCAAAAAAAATCGAATTTCGAAGTGAGTAAGATTATAATACAAATGACTTCCAACAAGGGAAGAGGACAAATTCTACGAGAAAAGCATGTAAGTGAGGAATGCATAATTCAAAATCCGATTTAATTCATAAAAAGGGAAGAAAAGTTACCGTCATATTCGGGGAAGTAGTCGACAAGATGAGAGTAGAGAATCTTTTCTTCAAGTAGATCCTTCTTGTTCAGGAAGAGGATGACTGAAGATTCTTGGAACCATGGATACGTTATGATTGTCCTGAACAAGGCTTTACTTTCCTCCATTCGGTTCTGCAAATGTTAGAGATGAGATACTATAAATAACTAAATCTATTTAGAGAATGGCCAATATTGTTTAAGAATTACCAATAACAAAAGCTATTGAAAAACAAATAAAAACGGAGCTCAAGACTCTGAAATCTTCTAACCTTGGCAACAAAGAACTGTCAGGAAGAATTAGAGTAAATGATAAAAGGCTCCCACTTATGTAAGAACCCATCCATTTATGAAATTAGCAAATTGAAAAAGCAAGTATAACACATTTTTTCTTAATGCAGTGAAATCCGATCCGAGACCATTCAAAACATAACCGGAATAGCGTGAATAGAGTGACACTAGTGTAAACAAATGACTGCGTTAATGTCTGATTGAAATATTACTAAAACACCCCTTAATCCTAAACAAACACAGCCCCATATATTATTGAGATCAAAGATTTTGAAGTCTGGGATCTAGGACTAGGTCACAAAAAACTTCTGTTGGTTAAATAGGAGCAGCGTAAGATCTTTTGAAAATACACTGGCTAATGAGAATTTCTAAGATACCTCCCTTTAAACTAGGTTAATAGATACGTATCAACGAAGAAGTAGTGAAAAATCCCAAATTCAAACTAATCAAAGAAGCAGGATCAGTATGAAAACTGACCTCATTGTCTGATTCCACAAGAACTTGGTCGTATTCTGAGAGAGCGACGAGGAACATGATGGAAGTGACACTTTCGAAACAGTGGATCCACTTGCGACGCTCTGATCTCTGACCTCCCACGTCCACCATTCGGAAGATTATTGAATCCAAATCGAAAGGGTACTCAATAATACCTGTAGTGGGAACACGCAGGCGAAGGATGTCTTGCAGAGTGGGAAGATAATCACTGGCCGCAATACGATCAATATTGTCCAAGTAACTGAGGGGGGAGGGAGGAGGGAGGAGAAAGTGAATAAAGGTTAATATATGGTTACTAGTTGTTAACTTCTATGAGCAGACTACGTGAATCTGCGCAAAAAGAATAGGTAAATCCTGTTAAAGGAGCAGACGACAAATACAAAGAGTGAAACAACCCAACACTTAATACTCTTCAAAGCAATTCCGCTATTTGTCATAGAATCCGATAGTGCGAAATGAACACGTCAACTAATTCCAGTGATAAACAAACTCGATGAGGCCAAATGCTTCGGTCACTGATCAGCAGCAGCACGTAGAAACAACCACAAATATACAGGGCAAGAAAAACTAACGAGAGCAATAAAATATATTTTGCATCGATACGACGAGAAATATGCAATTATTAAAAAGCCACTATATGTAATTTAAACTTAACTCTAAATTACAAAAAAGCCACTTCAGGGAACTGCAAATTGACATAACCATAGAATGACCGACTAGATGTCATAGCGAGGCTCGAAATAATGAAGTAGGGAAGATTTAAAGGAGGACATAGCTTACTATTTGGCAGAATCTGCAAGCTGGTATTCCCGACGACGATCGTAACACTCTTTGATGCCAGGATCACTCCAGAGCGATTTGATAGCCACAACGTGTGCTGGGTCCAAAGTGGTCACTGTCTCGTAGTCTATCTCCCGAGCCTGCTCAGCGTGTTCCTGGGGAAAGGAAAAGAAGTTAGCCAAAGCGACAATTACATCACATCAGCTATTTGGTAGTGAACAGTTTGTTAACTTGAAAGCACGGTTACACTAGTATTGGTGGAAACGAACTTACAAACACGATCTGAATCAAAGCCTATAATAGACAAGTACTTTGAATCCATTTCCAAAAGGTGCCAAGTACACATATGTGAATAAGTCATGGAAAAAAAGTACATATGGCTCAAAGTCGCATACCATTATAAACACCAGACTCTCCTAATAGCCCAGATTTCTTTGAACTCAACAATTAGCAATGTTAAGTACTCTTCTAAAAATCGAAAAATAGAACGTCTGGGAGCTTTCATATCAATAGGAATTTAGTTAAATTTTATAAATAAAAACCAATAACACAATCGGGTGAGACTACACAAAGAATCAACTTGAAGACAGTTTAATTAATAACGTTAGAACTGCGTAAGTGAACAGATAAAACAAGCTACGGTTACGGACAAAAATTATTTGATTTAGTAACCCCAATGTGTGAAAATAAATCCGCTAAAAATATAGTAGGAGGGCAAAGTCGGGATTCAATATTATTTTTGCCTAAAATGGCGTGATTGAGAATGTAACAAGAGCCGGTACAAATAACAGTTGCCACCGTTTAACACTGACTTTAAACTCGATTAATTATTATCAACAATAAGAGATCGAATTCAAGAAGCTTCTACCAATAATAGATCTCAATGTGTCTCTGGTTGGACAGTCATAATTTTGTAAAGGCGTGCGCAATGACTTATCGTCTTTCGTCAAATCCCAATTGATTACCTTATTTACCCCATCAGCTACGTAGGACGCATTAGTTGATCTTTGCCGCAACTGATTTCTCTATCGAATTTGTAAACGCCAAATGGAAGACAAACCCAGACATTTCAGTTAGTAGTAGGAAAGACTATAATAAACAGCCAATACTAAACCAAGAAAGTTCAAAAATGAACCCAGATGCTCTACTGGAAAAGATCATTGTACCCTTTTTCGGAACGATCAATTGGAAACGGGCTAACAGAAGAAAATTACTACACTATTCAACAACACAGACATGCACAACAACAACATAGAGGGGGAGAGGTGACATGGATGCCAAAATGGCACAGATTGAGGGACACTATTGGAAGAGAGCGAGCGGGCGAGCGAGAGGTTAGTTATATATGCAAATTAATACGCTAACACACACACACATTAACGCGAAAATACACAACATGCTTGCATTGAACACACAGTCATATCCTTTGCCAGCATACATAAGCCCCCTTTAAATGGAAAAATAGGGGCAAGTCTTCATATATTACAAACTTTGCCGAAAATAAGAAATAGAAGCACCACAAAGATATTGTGCACCCAGCCTTGAGCTTTGACAAGTCCCACTCCTTACATCAACGAAAAACGGAATAAGAAGTAGACAGAACACTTATGTTATGAGATACGTCTATCCAGTAAGACGAATGATGAGGCTATGGAGGTGAAATAAAGCTTCATGTACGGGAGTTATAAGTTAATAATATGCATTAGGAAATGCACTGAAACGTTTGGGTTTTCAAGATCTTGGTGATCATGAGCCTGGGACCAATTAGAACACTTACAAAGAGAATGAAGAAATAACAAAACTTTAAATGGGAAATGAAATGAAAGACTACAAAAAACTCAAACAATGTCCAATGCAAATTGAATCAATATGACGAAAAGCATGATAATAGGAAAAAAAGACAATTGCGATGAAAATGGACTACATGCAATAGATTTCTATTTACATGATTAGAAACACTACTTATTAATCGAAATATTTTGAATTTATTGATCTAACGGCCAGCAGAACATGCGGATTACAGTAAGAAGAGTTCATCACTTCCTCATTAATAATGGATATTTGCGGCAAATTAATAGTTATAACGACACAATCTACACACCATTACCAGCAAATCAGAGATGTATAAAGGAAATCCCTACTAAGAAATAGGAGGCCCAATAAGCCAAACCAAGCACATTCGTGAATAAAACTCTTGACAATAATTGGAAAAATGGCAAAATTGAATATATAAAACATATGCTCATATGGTAGTTACATCAACAGTAAGAAAACTAGTGACCTGCGCATCTGTACTTAATGCAAAATAGGGCAAAGGATTGACGAACACCAATTTACAAAACATTATTAAAACCAATAGCTTAGAAGCGTTAATCCTTAATAAGACTAGTATATCAAAAGTCAAAAGGGACCTTAGAATCAAGTTACTGAAGTTGTTCTGAACGAAGATGACAAAATCACTATCCCACAACAAAGTATGCAAAGCATGAATCTAAAAGGAGACATACCCGATTGACAGGGTTCTCGTAGGGAATCTTGAGTGTCTCCATGGCTCGAATGAGTGTGTACATGGCCAGATAGATGTTTTGGTAGACCAATTTGATAAGACTGCGTCTCTCCTCGTCCGAATAGCCCGAACCATGAATGATACGCATCTGCTTGATAAATGTACTCTTACCTGACTCGCCAGTGCCTAGAGAAAAAAATAGGCTTAAAATTAGAAAAAAAACAGACAGTGGCAGTTTGGGAATCTTAACATCAGAGCTCAAGACTTGGCTAATGCTGCTCATGGACAACAAAATAAACTTATATCAATCTTCGCAGATATAGCTAGAGGCATTATTACATATAAAATTTGAAAATAATTTCAGCTTTGAGACCCAGTAAAATTAACATAACATAAATTGAAACGTGGCTTTCATAATAATAGCTTTCAGATATTTTTACCCTAAACTGAATGCGATCAAAACATTCAACTAGTGTTACTTTTTGATACCTATCACGGCACTGGGAACAAAACATCCAAATAACCAGGGCTCCTATATTCATCAGTACTAATTCAGTGATTCGAATAGACGCCAAAATCTAAAATTCCAATGATAAGTTGGCAATAAAAGCATAAATATATTTTCATTTTTTAAAAAATGGTAACTGTTAGATCACTCATCTTGCCAATCAAGAATAACTACGTGTAAATGCACAGATTCTAACACTCCTCTTCGATGGACTATGGAATTACTAGATTTATCAATATCTTTTTTAATGATTTAAAAGCCGTTGAGCTTTGCAATAGGAAAATTTTAGTTGAGTGAAATAGAGACTAGCTAGACCACTCAGGCTCATGGTTATTAAAGCTCGAATGAACAAAACCCCTCGATCTCCTAAGAGACCACTAACAAAAGGAGAGCTTGCTCATTCGCAATAGCCCTGGATTTTAACATCAAACGTAGAAAATCACTAACAGAATTAATATTCGTTTATAAGATCTTAAATAATTAAGAGCTAGGAAAGACAGTAACGATAATATAGTAGAACCAGAGCGCAGTACAAAATAGATATAATTTAACAAATTAGGCAGATATAAAGAAAATGAAAACTATCAAGGGAAAATAAGGCCGATAACAATTTTTAAATAGGAACGAAGTAATTTACGATAAGTCAGTTACAAATATAACAACAAAGGCAAGGGTGTTGGACATCAAGACGATACTGACCCGAAAGACTTAAAAATGGCTTATAGCGAACGTCCGTCGAACTGAAACAGTGCTATAAGACCATGCAAAATGAAAACGGCACTTACGAAAATGCATGAAAAAATTAAACGAAGATTTTAAGGTAATAAGCTAATTCAACAATATCAGAGTTTAAAACTGCGCTTAAAAATTCCCGTCATTAAAGAAAATAGACAATGCAGAAAAAATTGATAAATAGGGCAAATGAAAAAGCAAGAGAAAGGTGAATACATTTTAAATATAAAAAAGTGAATTTAATCTAAAAAGATGCAGGCGTTGAGACATATTACAGTCTATAAAACCAGGGGGTACGAGATTGGACCAAGTCTACAATTAGGGGAAAATATAGGAATAGGGAATTAACAAATCTTACATACAAAATTAATGATTCCCTATGAAGATATCGGCAACGAAAAATATTTTCGAAATGCAAATGAATACAAAATAGAATAAAAATGATAAAATCACATTGTGCAACCATATGAAAACACTGCGCAAAGGCATAAAAGTGTTGAGCGATTAAATAGAAATATAAAGTATACCAAACAAATAGTAACAATAATCACAGGATTCTGCTAACATACCAAGCAAAAGTAATTTAAGTTCCCTTCGAGCATCCTTTTTATCGCGTTTCAACTGCTTTTCTATTTCTTTATTAATTCGATTCTGCTCTTTGTATTCTTCACTCCGACAGCAAGACATCGAGGCAACTTTAAGTTATAAAAATTATATTCCAGATGAAAATTTGACACAATGTGACGTATGAAACTATACAGTGAATTGAGGATCCTATAATTTAATCCAGTTAAAAGCCGAAATATTCATGAACATGAAGAATTTTAAGAATTGCGGGAACACCACATTTATACGATAAAATAACAAACAATCGAATGAATAATTTCAACAAAAATTGAATAGAAATTAGAATATTATGAATGGTATGCATCGAATAATTTAAATACATATTAATTAAATTTAAGTTTGTTATTTTAAATCTCTTTTTTCCACTAATAATAAACTACTCCGGATAAACTTTTTTATATGTATATTACCTGAAAACATAAAGATCATTGCTTATAAAATTTAACTTAAAGTATATTATATATAAATATAATCGCAAGTGTAAATTTTCATAATATGTTTCTTAAAAATTAGTCAACAAATATACATCATATCTAAAATAACCAAACTTAAGTTTATACACAAAATCGAAAAACATTGTACATTCAGTTTCCTATCAGCAGTGAATTTTAATTTTTAATTTTGTATTCAACAATGTCTAATAAGGTGATAAGCGAAAAAATTAATTAGATTTTCTTGTATGGTGGTAAGGCGTGGAAATTTTATATAATTCGGAAACCAGTAAAACTGTTCATAAATTACCAATCATTTGTTTGGCCGAAATAATGAAGAATATATAAGCTGTTCAGAAGAAATATATGAATTTCCATGCCCTTGAATGCGAATTATAATTACTTTATCTTTTACAGTCAAGATTTACCATTTAAAACTGCTACTAAGAATGGTGTATCATCATACTATAATGTTAATTCCCACTAAGTTATATAACTCGTGAAACCTAAGTTCATAGTTTAATAGTGAGATCGTCGGCGTCATATTTCTGTACTACGCATATACATCCATTACGCTTAGCAGTCAGATAAGTTGCATTTATTCAGTAATAATTACAATCTTATACGTCAATGATTTTGCCGCTTATTTCCTGTTTCGTATTTATAACTTCGAATGGCATCTGTCACTGATATCTACGAGAGCTACAATAAGTTAACATTTCGTATTGGTTTAATTTTTGAAAAGGCAAACTAAGATTATTGAAAACCAGTTCTACAAAAGCAAAAATGGCTGTGTAATATTATTGATACTATCAATTTTCCAAAAAATTGTGTAACTGAAACTTATGCGCGAACAAATTTAAAACCAAATTTATTCATATAAACAATGGGATATATACTGCAGTGGTTTTTGGTACTTTTCGTTTCTTTACAGTTTTAGACGTTTTAGTAGCTGTCAGTTGCCTCAATTTTAAAATGTCGTTCTAATATATTACTCTCAGTTGTGCCAAAAGCGGTCTACGCTCCTGAAATAGCGATTATCATTCAGCTACATTTAAATGCTCCAGACCTTAATCACTTAAAAACTCTTGTTCTTCGAATTTGGGCTGTGAATTTTGAACTATTTGTGTTTTATTTATTTAATTTAATAAATTATGGTTACTTTAAATAATATTGGACTGATATCAAGTAGATGCTTGTATGGTAAGTACACCGATAGATATTGCTAAAAATTGTAATTGGAAATTTCGTTAGGTTAACTTAAAACAAAATATTGATGCTGTTGCATAAGGTATTGCAATGAATTTTAACTGCGATTACTTGCTAGAAAGATAAGAATGATTGGCTTTTTTTAGAGAACGTGCCAAAAAGTTTTCTTAAAATTATTATTACGGATTTTAACAATCGACTAGGGAAACTCGATGAAAATTTTTATTTTTCGGTTCTTGCCTGTAAATTCATGCTTCGATAAGTTATATTTTCTTAACTTACGCTTTGTACGTAAGTTGACCTTGCATATAATCACAAATATTAAAATTCACCTTATTCGAAGTACTCAATCTGCGCGCATTTGAAAAATTGAAGACGTCAAGATGGAGAAATATTCGTAGCTAGGATGATGTCATTGGAATTGCTTAAGTTGCGTCTTTTCTTTAAATTTTTGGTAAACCAGGCGATTAGTTGTTGAATCCATTATTATAAAAGTTAAGTAATTGTAGAATCCTCAAACTCTGAAGGCAATTTTATACAGGCCTGTTAGCAAATATAAGCTCTTACCGAGAATATGGAAACTAAATGCACTATTTTTCCAACTATATATTTCATAACTAATAATTATCCATATTAGGTCTTCATAGCTAAGATAAGGAAATTCGATATGGTATAGTTCTAACATAAAAGAAACTCCTTTTATTGTTGTTTCTATTCATTTATATTAACAGGTAAATTCCAATTAGTTTCAGAAATTTTAAACTATACATATATATATATGTATATATTCCCCAGCTTTCTCCTACTATCTTTTACTTTAAACGTTTCTAGCAAGATCCAAGTTAATAGAGATTATCTATTTTAAATTTAGGTATTGACAGCGGAGATATATGACTTTTATTATTGCCTCTACAGAAGAGATGAGAATTGGCGTGATAGATTTTTTCTGTCCATTTAAACATGTAATTACAGATTGAATGTCTACTTGGTCTATAAAGTAGTTGGTTTTTCTTATGTATATCCAGTGATCACCTAATCTACCACTTCAATCTAGCATTCATTTGCTTTAAGTTTTACCAAGAGTGAACAACTTGTCTCTAGATAAACATTACAAGTTGTTTCCATTGAGTCATAGCTAAACAAAATCAAATGTTCCCATTAAAACCACACAAAGAAATCCATATATTTGAGATGCTTGTAAATAAGCCGATTTTTATTCTTAAAATGAATAATTTGTTTAAATTTCCATCAAATTATGCCCCATGTGAGTGGCAAAATTAATATTGATTAATCGAATAAAATGGACTGAGCTTATGTCGGGATGGTTTAGTGGCTAAATGCCATGGGTATCTTGAAGACTTTTGCAGCTTGTTGCCAAATGAAAGCACTTAAAAGTTAAAAATTTGTTAGTAACTAAAGAGAAAATCTCTATAAATGCCGATTAATACAACTTTAATCCGAATATGAAAATTAAATATATAGTAAACTACCGTAAATATGCATTGCAGTTGCAATCTGATAATAAGATAAAAGATGTATCAGGATGATAGCTAACCCTCTTATCATAAGAACATAAAAATGTTGAAGAAATGAAAAAAACGATGATAAAGAATTCTCAATCTCGTTCAGCTGATTAATCGTTAAGTAAATTTCTGCCATCACAATTTCAAATTTGGGAGGATTTCAGAGTAGGGTTTCATGATTTGATCAGTAATAGGTAAACGTTTAACAAATACAAGAAATTTGTGCAAACAAGAATGCTTAGCACTCACCAAGTAGTAGGAGTTTGACCTCTTTGCGTTGATTTCGTTTGTCACGTTGAAGCTGTCTATCGATTTGTTTATTCAGCCTCTGCTGTTCCATGTATTCCTGTGAAAAGCAGCATAAACAACATGAAAGCAGGTTGCCCATAGTTAATGTGGGGGACGTCCGGAATAACGTTGCAATATCCATTCGTGTTTTCCTTCTGTAGCCATGGTAACGCATTACTTGGTTATCAGCTCTGACTCTTGCTACCACCTTTGGCCGTATGGCGCCTGAAGAACACAGAGAGTTCAGCCTGTGCGCGCATTCTGGATCCAATGCACCAATGGGGGGAGGGGGGGGGGAATAATGTCATCTTTATTTTGTGTAATAACGAGGTAATTTACATCATAGTTACTTGAGACACTAAGATGGAACGCATTTTAATTACATTTTTAGTGGCCTATCTCAAGTACTTGACCAGTGAGCATTAAGGAAACACCTTCCTTCTTGTGAGAAGCTTAGATGGGATCAGGAAAATAATCGTAGTCTTCAACTTAACAGATCTAAAGGTATTGTATCTGCCGAAAATACAAGAATAGTTTAACCCCCCCCCCCCCCGACTCCATTGAAAAGACGCAATAGTTTCATTGTAGCCGGATTGAGAAAGAAAGCGAAATAAAGGAAGAACTTTAGTCCAGTTTTGGACAGCCTCGAGGGCTTAGGCAAATCACTATTTATCATATTTAAATTAGAGAAATAGACGAGAATTACTAAAGGATTACCTCCAACTTTCCTTCTCAAATACCATAATTTAAGATTCTCTGTTCGAGATACTAAATTATCGAATGAACCAAACAAGGTTGATTCCTTATTTATACGATGTTTAGCACCGCAGTCGAAATCCCGGTGACGACTGAACTCATTAACTAGGTGAGTGCTGAGACATAACTAATGGCAATGGTCAATTTCCATTTCTAGATCTAAAGATATATTCTTGAAATTTATGTGTTAGTTAGTAGCATTTTGATAAAATAGGTTCACTTGCAATACTTTTACAGAAACTATGTTGAAGGAGGGATTATATGATGGTTTTTAAAGCATTTATCAGATTTTGCAGTAAATATGAGAACAGTTCCTATTCACCTTCAAGATCCAGCGACATTTCAACGCGCTTTCCAAAAGAAATAACCATTCCTGACTAGGCCAGTACTTGCTATCTGTATATCCAAAAATGTATACTTTTAGCACTTATTAGTCAGACTTACTGAACAACTAAAGTCAGGTTTCTTGCACATACTTTAGCTTTTCAAAAATTATATCGCTCGTTAGATCTCTATCGTTCTGCTATTAACATGGCCGTTGGGTACGATATAATCAAGCGTTCAATTTAATCAAAGGTTATGTTGATCCTGCGTCTAGAGGATGGGAATTCACTAAGGAGTTCATGGGTGGAATTGAAATTTAATTTAAAATGGAACACCTGATTCCATAATTGAAACAGAATGGAACTCTTCTGATGAGTAGACTTTATTCTCACCATCTACTGCATCCTTTCCTTATTGAGCATTTCAGAATTTTTCCTGTTCGGATCCGCTAAGCCAGAGAATAAGAATTATCCGTCATTATTTTGCCCGACTAGAGTTTTATCGATTTTTCCACTCGCCATCACCGAGTTTGTCAATCGGATCTTCTCATGATTTTCCAATAAATCAATTGTCTTTTTTTCAAATTAACCTTTTTTATCAACAAAAAAATATCATTTATAAACTATTTAACTTATGAATTAAACTACACGCATTGGAGGATTTATAACTGTGCTGGTATTATTAATTTGGGTCTTCTAGCAGGAAGCATACACTTATTTCTACGAAGTAACTGTTAGCTGAGTGATTAGGTAACTGTGATGAGTATTTTAAACCCAACAATGACAGAAGACAAGAATTAGAACAAATGATAATGAATTAACTGTGGGGTTTTAGCATCATCGCGTGCGTTCCAGTCTGAAACATGTGACACAGAGAATAGGTGGGTCGCCATTCAGGAGTGCATGAAAATGCTCCATCCCATAATGCGGGGATAGAAGTTCGCTATTCATGAAAATAAGTTAATACGAATTGCTCTACCTTAGATAATTACCGAAGGGAATTTTTCGTCTTTTAAAATCACACTACTTTGTGTTAATTTAACATTTTTGCCAAAAAGAATCAAAATAAGATTGCGGAAAGCATTAACTTACTTTCAAAAACAAACTATTTGTGTGTAAGTTTTGGCAGCAGTTTCCACAATTCCCTCAGGACTCAAGTCTAAAACTTCTGGACTTGAGGTGTTGATGATGTTGGCATAAGAAAAGCTGGGGTCTCCGATTTCAGGCAACTAACAGTAGACAATAGCTTTCCTAAATCTGCCAGAACACTAAGCGTTGAGTGCTGACCTAGGTCCATTGTATAACAACAGTTGAGGTACGACGGAGTAGGAAATAACTGAAGGAGATTAGAACAGCGAGGACAAGGGAGTACCCCACAAAAGTAGTTTAGTAACAAGTGCATTAATATGTGACTGGAAGTGAAATCACAATTTTTGCGAGTCACTTTGGAATCAATTAAGCACATTTGGACAAATCACTTACGGTTTGAATCATTGTGACCTAAGGACATCACTGTAGCTGGGACAAAAAAAATTACGTATTTTCAAAAAGAATGTGAAGGAAAAAATAATTTAGAAAATCCATGGGAAGCGGTGGATCCAGATTCCCTTTGCTTAGGCCTCTGCAATTATGTGTCACCGTCTGTGCTCACAAGTAACTTCTTTCCGTGATTTTTGTATTTTTTTCCCTCCTAACCGTTCCATAGTTCACTTGAAATAAATTAAATATATCTGAATTTTATACAAAATCAAATAATTATTCAATGACTCGAAATTTTTTGTTGAGAAGTATCAAGCAAATTTGCCTTTCATCGCTTATAATGGAGACAAGGTGATCTAAAGAAATGACTAATTCACCGTTGAAAAAACTTCCATTAGTGAACCTAATCAATTTCATTTCCCAAGCTTTTTACTAAGAGTATAAAGTGAAATTTATAAAGGATTAAAGATAAAATGAGAAGATAGAATGCACTCTCAAAAAATTCGTGTTCACATTTTTGGAGGGAATTTTGTTTATTAGCTTTACAAAAAACGAGAAGTGTGCTTGAGAATTGGAGTTTTTATATAGTGACTATTGTGACGGTTCTGTTACACCAACACATTTATTTATTTATACCAAATGCCAGGCGTTTTGATAGTTGTCATTAGCCCTTTAGTTGACTTCGGGCTTCACAGAGGGAAGTATTAGCCCTTTAGTTGACTTCAGGCTTCACAGAGGGGAAGTATTAGCATTATAGGACTTCGGGCTTCACAGAGGGGAGGAGGAACATCAAAGAGGAAAAAAGTCGAGAGGGGGGTGAACAGAAGAGTGATTCACAGATGTAAAAGAGACAGACACAAAAGTGGAAAAAGGTGAGGTGATTACTGTGGAAGTAGACAAATATGACATACAGTGGGGTGATGGTAGTTGGAAGTGAGAAGTTAACTGCCAGTAAGTAGACTTTTTTGCCGTATGAGTATACGTTGCCCAGGGTGTACCACGTGGAGGTAAGTCTATCGCACACCCCTTACACCAATACATATATATATATATATATATATATATATATATATCCTTTTATGCCACTATCTTTTGATTTAGAGACAGTGATGTTTTAAATGAGTGGAAGAGGTGAAGACTACAATTGAGATATAGTGATAACAGAGCCTGCAAAGACGGGTTCAAAAAGAAGAAGGTACATTAAGTCAAATCCTCGGAGTGCGAACGAAAACCAATAAGCAGCATGGTTTTGAATACATTTTGGTCACAAAAACACAGTCCTTCCCGAAATTGCAGTTGTGGAATGTACCAATTGAAAGTAAAAACGGTTTCATATACAATTATGTACAGTAAGTATTAAGTGACGCTTATTTGATGGATTTCCTTTACTTGGATTTAGTACATTGAACCCAACAGCCAACTGTTACTTAAGTTGTTTTTCATGCATTGTGTGAGGTCTTGACATCATTTTTAGTATGCACAGGATTCGGACAAAGACGTCGAATGTAGTTGCTGCTATTAATTTCTTTCCACTTTTTAGTGACCAGCAGAAATGAGATCGTTAAAAAATTCCGATGGTTTATTATCAACCTAAATTGAAGGGTTTTCAGTGTAATGTGTCAGACATGTTAACCCAAAGGGTGCTAAATAGTATAATGTCAGGTACTATTTTTATTCTTTCTGTTTATTTGTTAACTCGAATATTAACATTACACCCACTTCATGACCTACAGCAAACATTCTGTACTCTCTTATATACAAGCCTATTTAAAAAATAGTAGATAATCATGCAATAGATAATTTATGTCTTAAAATTCTCAATTTGCAAATTATTCGTCCCAATATCTGTCTGTTGCTATAGTGATTGCCCAAAATATAGCACTGATTGAATTAAAGCAATATTAGTGGTCAGCCAGTCATGAGCAACGACAGTAATAGTAATTATTTCAACTTTTTGAAAATACATTTATTCGAGTTACTAAATTACCAGTTATCAGTTACGAATTTAGCAACGTGAAACTTAATTAAATTTCTCGTGTACCGCGTACCTTTTTTAGCTTTTGCTGGATGTTTATCCTCACTCGATTTACTATTCTATCAATCCACCTTATTTCATGAGATTATTTGGGAGGACTTTAGCATGGAGCAGATTAGTGAAGTGGGCGGTGGCTACTTTTCGCTTCCATGGCAAGCAAGCAGAAGTCAGTGTGCAAGATGAGGTTAATAGGAGGAGATATTTTACTTTAATGCAGCACGGCATACTTATACTTACCCGTAAGTAGAAATAAATTATTGGTCAATGAATTAGTAATTAATTAATCAGTCCGTGTCTAATTGTTAATGGTTTATCTTGTAAATAATTAGGAATTTTATTCATTTTATAAGTAACAAATAGCAACTCTATGGTAATGAAGCCGCAATAGACAATAGATTCCAAACAATGATTGAAGATCATTAACGATGCGATCTAGTGGTCCAGCTATGCGCATGTGCCGAAACA